ATATACAATTGTACAGGACATATCTTTCATTCTCTTTTCTGTATTTTCCAAAAATTCCTACAATGACCATGTATTATTTCTATAGTGTAAGAAAGTTTCTAAAGCTATCTTCAAAAAATTAAAAAGCATCACTTTTAAGTATTTATACTTCAGACAAATTAATTTCATATTTGCTATAGTTTTATTTTCTCTGGGAGAAAGGTGTAGTCATATTTGAATATATATAAAATATACATATAATTCAATAATATCTTATTTATCCAGCATCATATATGGAAATGAATTTCCCCAGTTAATTAAAATGTACATCATAAACTTCAAAACTTCAGTGAAACTTTGATGGATATCTATCTCAAAATACAATTCACTCAATCCTGACTGCTTAAATGAAGACAAAACAAGATGAAGCCTTATTATGATTATTCAGGGTCATCATTATGACCACATAATAGTAGCTCTGAGGGACCACCAGGTCTTAGAGAGGGATTTGTCCTTACATTAAGTAGTCCATAACTGCTAAATTTTTTCTTATGCCAGCTATTTATAAATCTTCTTCTTCCTCCCTTGCTATAAAACCATCAGCTATCATTTTTCAGAATTGTAAGCAGCCGGTCTTTAGCAGCACCAGCCACACTTTTCATTCCTATTTTGCTGTTGATAATCTTCCTAGAGTAAGAAAAACTAAATATCCAAGTTTTAAGAATTATGTGTAAACTAAGAGATAATAGGCTTCAAATAAGGTATCACCTAAAAATGATTTGCACAGACATAGATGATTTTGTTCTAGTTACAATATAAATGAACTGCAAAGAGTATGAGTTCTTGATTGTATGTATCTCAAGTGTTGGTTCCTTTACTATATTGGGAGTCAAGTTCTCAGGATCAGAAACTCCTGTTTCACATCATGGAAGGAGATGTGGACCAGGAGCCAAGGAACTTAGTTCTAGTGCAGGTTCTGACAGTAACCAGTTTTGTAACCTTCAGCAAGTCTTTTAACCTTGGTACATGTCCTGCATAACTTAGGAGGCTGCCTTAGAGTTAAATTAGATCACAAACACAAAAACACTCTGAAAAGTATAAAGCACTACACAAAAGTAAAATATTTTTATGGTATTTCACTATGTTTATATGACCATGGATCAACATAGGTATCCATTCAGAAAATTCATAACAGAAAGAAGGAAAGAGATAATTCTTAAATTGCCTATCAATGAGGAAATATCTATTATCTTAGAAGAACAATACATTCCAAAGTTGGCATCTCTGATTCCTCCTCCCCTATATCCAATCAGTTCCCAGGTCCTTTGTGTTTTCTCCATAATCCCTCACATCTGTCCCTTTCTTTCCATTACCACTTCACATCCCCAGTTTAGGCCTTTATTATCTCACACCTGGGCTACCGTAATAACCTCTAACTGACTCCACTCACGGCCTCCCTCTGCCTCTCTCAAATCCTTCTGGCCAACAGCTGCCAGATCAATTTTCTTAAAACACCACTGTGATCCTATCTGCTCAGAAACCTCTTTAGACTCTCCATTACCTTCCCTATCAAGTTCAAACTCCTAAACTCAGCAGTCCCTGTGCAGTCCCAGCTTCCTCCTCACCTTTATTTCTTACTACTCTTCCAAAGAAATCCTTCCTCAAACTGGTCTAGTTAAGTCCTTCAGATAGACCTTGTGCTTTTCTGCCTGTAAGTTTTGGTAGTACAGCTTCTCTCCACCTGGAATACTATTTCCCAGGCCCTACCCCAACCTATAAATATTTTACCCATACTTCAAGGCTGAGTTTGAATCCACCTACTATATGTACTTCTCTTTGATTACCACAAAAGAAAAGATGGAAGATTCTAAAGTTAAATACATCTCCAACAGCTGAGTGACACTGGGCACATTCCTTAATAGCTCTTTGCCTCAGTTTCTTCATCTGTAAGACAGGGATAATAGCAATTTCCTTTGGACATAATGTAAGGAGTAAATGAGTTAATCCCCGTAAATCACTTGGCATGATCCCTGGCATAGACGAAAACCCAAAAAATGTTAGATATTGTTATTATTACTCTTGCCATTAGTGAATTTATCTTAATCTGAATTCAGACAATACTTATGGCCATTACAAACTAGCTGTTCATGTACATACAGTATCATTTCCCTCACTCTCTTTTTCCACCCTCTCATCTCACATTTGTTCTTCTTCCTATCCCCTCCCAAGATTGCATGATACTGATACATGGGATCAATGTCTTATACATCTTACTATCTGTAATAATCACTCATAACCAGTAGGTGATCCATAGATTTATTTAATCCCCAGTGAATGAATACTGAAGAGCTGACAGTATTAAAATGCCCTATACCACCTATAGTCAAAAGTAAAATAAAATGTTTAAAATTATTAAAAAAAATCTAAATTTCCAGTCTCACAAAACTAAATCTCTCCTTTCATGATTCTCTAGACTTTTTTTTTTTTTTTTTTTTGCTCTTTTACCTTTAAAACAACTCAAACTATTCATGCAACAAGAGATACAACAGCAAATATATGCAGGTCAGACAGCAGCCAAATATTGGAACACGAGAACCACAAGACAACTCAGCTGAATATAGCTATGGATGAAGTGAAATAGGAAGACAATTTAAGGGGAAAGGTAACTGGCTCATCAGTCATACAAACACACACACCCACACCCATACACACACCAGTCCCAGGATTCTTTTACACCCAGGGCCACATATAAACAGCTGAGATAACCAGGCTACTACAGCAAGTAGATGTAGAAATATCAGTCAGTTAGCTCAACAACTGAGCTTACCACATGATCAATTACCTATCTCAAAAGTGGCTATTAACATACCTCAATATTCTAATAACTAAGGTTTGGCTAATTAAGTCTTATCAAGTAGATACGGCCTTACTATACACTAATCATTTGCCTCAAGAGACTAAGTATAACTTGATATACGTATGTTATTATCATAGCATAAGCTATTTTATTTATTTATTTGAGAGAATGAGAGCACATGAGAAGGGGGAGGGTCAGAGGGAGAAGCAGACTCCCTGCTGAGCAGGGAGCACGATGCGGGACTCGATCCTGGAACTCCAGGATCATGACCTGAGCCGAAGGCAGTCGCTTAACCAACTGAGCCACCCAGGCGCCCCATAGCATAAGCTATTTTTAGCAATGCCCAGGGAAAATGATGTTACCATAATACTGGTTTCTAGTGTATCTGCATGACTCTATTAACTTTCAGTTGCTTTCTCAGCCAAAAACGGGCCTGGTGACCACTATCCTCAAAGGGTTTACTAGTAGAGAGAAGTAAGATGGTTTGTCTTCAGAGGACCCTAAAACGTTTTACCAGCTTTGAAGTGCAACTATTCTCAAATCACAAAATATTAAGAGTTGGAAGAGCCCTAGAAGTCCCCCACTGAAGGAGTTATTTATACTAACTTCCAAGCAAAAGGCCTTTCTTTGAATACTTTCTCTGAATACTTTAAGTAATGGACACTCACTATTTTTGCAAGGCAGTCCACTTCACTGTTACAAAGTTCTTCCTTACAATCATTGGAAATCTGCCTCCCTGAACTTTTACCCAAAGATCATAGTTCTGCTCTCTGGAACAATACAAGTTAACCTCCGAAATATAATCAATTCTAGAATTAGGATATAATTGTCAATTTGGTCACACAAAATACAAAAGCAAGCTCAGGGGAAAAAAAAAAGAAGAAACCACAACTATACACAACAAAATTTTGAAATTCAGGAAACTATGTTGAAATCACAACCCACCATAGTTTCAAGATATCAAAACCCACGCCTCAGTAAACATACAAATATTAAGAATAACCTGATGTTTTACAGTGGAAGGTGGTACAGTGTTTACTGAATTCCTTTTGGCAACTTGAAACTACTAAATCCACCAACACAGTTTTAAAAATTACAATTTTGTAGGAAGCTCAAGACGGTTTTTCAAATTGCTCATATTTTCATTCTATTCCCTTCTAAAACATCTGCATGTTTTTGAAAGATCCCACTTCGCCCCACTGGTGCAATACTTTATGTATTTATTTTTAATATTTTATTTTTTTAAATAAATATTTTCAAGAATAAAGCCTAAAAGAATGGGGTGTAAAGGAGTGGGGGTGGGGCTAGCAGGGAAGTCGAAGAATTGCCCAGCAGGAAAAGGCTGGTTACTGGGTATTTTCCTTCTGGAAGCATGCTTCACTGGCATAGGTATCTGAAGTAAGGAACCATAGAAACACGACCCAAGAACAAGAACAATCATGAGCAATGAGTGTTAAGGCATTAATGTCAGTAAGATGTAAATGAATTGGAACTGGTCATCAAGCACCGCCAGATGCTTCAGGACCTCTTAGAGAAAAGGTTAAGAGGTCCAAGAAGCAGAGACCACGGCCACCCTCTGCGGGAGGAAAAGAGAGAAGAAACCAAGGAGTTAGTACCAGCTCAGCAGTCCAATGAAGCCCGAACAGTACCAGAGCACAAAAAAGACGGCAAGTGACTAGGGGGAAGGCACACAACCCGGAGAGCCTGAAGAAGGGGTTGCAGTGTGCGAATACCGAACGGGTCCAAGAAATGGGTGTGGGTAAGGGGCTGTGGTGTGTGTAAGGGGCAACGCAGGAGTCCCATGGTCTTCTCCCTGCAGCAGAGCAACAGAGGGTACAAGGAAGGGGGAGGGTGAAAAGCAAGAATGACTCATTCCCGAAAGGAAGTGTTCAAGCCATAGGAAAGCATGCTACGGGGAGCGGGGGGGGGTTTCAGGGCGAGGACTGTGAGAGCCAGGTGCCCAGAGTGATGCGGGCAAACCTCAACGTCCCGTAGTTCCCGTAGCTCGTCTTTAAGATGGGGTGTGGGGGGGTTTCGCGGCAGCCGAGTGCCAAGGCCTGGGAAGCGGCGCGGCGCGTGCGCAGTGGCGCTCGGCGGGACCCGCTGAGGCAAAGCGGAGCCGCAGTGACAGAAGCGAGCGGAGCTGCCGCCGGGTGGGACTCACCGAGGCGCAGGGGCTGGAGGTGGTGCTGGGGGTAGGCGACCGCTGGACCGTAACCAAAGCCATCTAGGCGCTTCTAGGTTGTTCCGGGCAGGGCATTCTTGTCCTGAATGTGGGGGGGGGGGGGGGGGACGGAGCCGGGATGGGGAAAGGGGTATGGGATGGGGGTGAGGGGTAAGGGGAGGAGGAGGAGGCCGCGGGAACGGCCACAGGCTCCGCACCCACCACCGGACTCTCGCCTACTGACGCGCCGAACGGGCGGCGGGCGGGCGGGCGGGCTGTTCGGCAGCAGCGGGGCACAATGAGCGCTCCCAGTGCGCAGGCGCCACCTGTCAGCAACCGCCTCTCCCCTCGGCGCGCGCCGCCGCCTCGGCGTAACCCTTGAGTTGCCGGAAGCCGGCTGGGTGTTTGCGTCTCTGGCCGCCGCCCGGTCCCGGGTTTCCTCCTTTGCTTTGGAGTCGCGCGGTTTGCCCGAGTCTAGAGGCAGTGAGCTGGGATGCGGGAGGGGCCCCGGGGCGGGGGCCGCTGGAATCCCCAGTCCTGAGAGACGACCATTTTATGAGGTGGGGGCGCACAGCTTAAGCGATCTTAGTGAAAGGAAACTGAGGTGAAAATCCTGAGGGAAACACGTTGTCTGGTGGGAAAGGGCTCCGCCGGGTTTCAAAGGCTTTCTCTAGGTGGGAGTGAGACTTACTGGACTGGAGACCCTCTTGGCGCGACCAAAGACGAGTTTATCCCCTTTTGACCCGGCTCTTGGGGGCTTTTTCTGAGCTTTACCACCTTCTGTCTCAGAGCCCATGTTTTATGATGAGACTTTATGAAAGAAAGAAAGGTTTTTAATTTTATACCCTGGCAAGCTTCAGGGTACCCCTCACGCTTCCTTTATTACCCTGGTCCTTGTCTAAGGACTCATTCATTATTCCTAAGGTGGAGAGAGGCTGCATGAGCCCGGGAGGCCGAGAAGGCTGGGCTCACGGAATTATAAGGGTCCAACCTGCTATTTACCTCCCACTTGCTTCCTGCTGGAAGAAATTTTCTGAAATAGGATTTGCTCCTTGAGATTTCTTACTCCTTCGACTCTAGATTTCATGCTTGCATAGACCTACGTGAAATGTAGATTATTAAATATTTTAACGGAATACTTTTCTAAAAGATAAACCGTCAGCCGACTTCAAGGAAGTAATGAAAAATCAAGATTAAAAGAGGGGGGAAATCTCACTATGCAAATACCATTGATTATTTACACAGAGAAAGAGTTGACAAAGCTATTTCTCAACTTGAGTGCATGCTCTGGAATATACCATCATACATATCAAAGCTGTAGAAAACACACACATTAAGGAGTTTGCAGTTATTAAAGCCTCCTGCTCCTGTTGTCACTAAAACTCTTTGGATCTCATTGCTTTCTTTAAACTGACAGGGCTGTCATGAGCTCTTTCTGGCTGCTGTATGGTTAAGTGCCACTAGAGCCCTCTGTGCTGAGCCTTTGTTCTCTCCCTGGGGCCCTGCGGTTGAAATAATTAGCAGGGAGGTTCCATCAAGAATCAGACACTGAGGGTCCCTGTACTGTATAGTCCTGTGTAGAATGAATTGCAGAGAAGCCAGCTGGTAGGCTTTTGCCCCCTGGTGGTGGTCAAGAGTGCCTGCGAGACAAAATTAAACAAAGATGTATGGTTCACCGATTAAACAATCTGTTTTTTTTCCCAGAGCTGCGTAGTAAACAGGAAAAGAAAAGACAAAGTTCAGAAATAAGAACTTTGAACCAATGCTTAGAAGACCAAACAGGAAGTTATATGCATAGCTAAGAAACATACATAGCTGAAAGCTGAATGAACTCAGATAAATGAAACATGTGGTTTAGAAATCAAAGTATCATTCTAGAAAAAGTATTATTCAAATCAATAGGTCTTAGTAATGTACTTGTATGTTATTTTTCTTAGTGACTCAGGGATAGCAACACTGATTATCTAGTTTTGTGTAGCAACATAATCTTAAGAAATTCTTTTGGCAGATGACTTAATTCCATTAATCTTACATTGGGAAAGATCACTACCATAGGAGTCAGAAGACCTGGCTCCTAGCTCCAACTCTGTGAAACCTTAGGCAAATGGCTTAAACTTTTTGAGCATTAGTTTCTACAATGGATCGCTAACTCACAGGATTCCTGTGATCAAATGAGATAATGCATGGTAAAGTACAGTATAAACTATAAAGCCCTGTATGTAGTTAAGATAACTTTATTATTCTCTAAAGTTTGTTCCAAGTTCAGTCAGCTTATTTTGAGTGTACCCTATGTGTAGAAAATAGCATCAAGCAAAAAGCCGAGGGAAGTCGCTTAACCAACAGAGCCACTCAGGCACCCCTAATTCCAATTTTTTTTATAATCCTAATTTTGACCAGGATTTTATCACCCCAGATATGTTTAACAATAACAAGTTAACCTCCGAAATATAATCAATTCTAGAATTAGGATATAATTGTCAATTTGGTCACACAAAATACAAAAGCAAGCTCAGGGGAAAAAAAAAAGAAGAAACCACAACTATACACAACAAAATTTTGAAATTCAGGAAACTATGTTGAAATCACAACCCACCATAGTTTCAAGATATCAAAACCCACGCCTCAGTAAACATACAAATATTAAGAATAACCTGATGTTTTACAGTGGAAGGTGGTACAGTGTTTACTGAATTCCTTTTGGCAACTTGAAACTACTAAATCCACCAACACAGTTTTAAAAATTACAGTTTTGTAGGAAGCTCAAGACGGTTTTTCAAATTGCTCATATTTTCATTCTATTCCCTTCTAAAACATCTGCATGTTTTTGAAAGATCCCACTTCGCCCCACTGGTGCAATACTTTATGTATTTATTTTTAATATTTTATTTTTTTAAATAAATATTTTCAAGAATAAAGCCTAAAAGAATGGAATATTTTATTCCTTCGGCTCAGGTCATGATCCCAGGTTCCTGGAATCGAGCCCCATGTTGGGCTCCCTGCTCAGCAGGGGGGTCTGCTTTTCCCCCTACCCCTGCTCATGTGCTCTCTCTCACTCACTCTCTCTCTTTAAATAAGTAAAATCTTTTTTAAAAATTGGAATTACAAAGTACCCAGATTCACATTATTTGTATCAGGAAGTTAATTTATTAATTTACAGAGGAAATAGCTCTTCCTGGTATATAACCTTTTAAGGAAACTAAGGTTTGGAAATTACTGGTGCATGTTCATTAATCACCATTAATTGAGAAAATATTGAGTATGTATTATATGCTACACACTGTTTTAAGAACAAAATAAAAGTCTATCTTTCAGGGGCTCAAAGCCTATTAGCAGGGAAAAACACACCAAATAATGACATAATGGCTTAGTGGCACTGCGGTTTCAGTCACCTTTGCTAGGCCCCCAAGGGGGATACATATACAGGAGAAGCCTAGATATGTACAAAGTGCTTTAGAAACTCAGAGGAAGAGGTCTGGGAAAATGCACAGTTTATGATACTGGCTTTCAGGCTTTGGTTGCAGAGCTAGATCACATGTGAGCATTCGAAGTCTATGCTCTCTGCCCCATTTATACCTGTTCTTCCCTAGGCTCCACCCTGGTTCCTACTTGGTCTTCTGGTGATCTGAGGGAGGAAGTATCTACTTTTAATAGAGAAAAGACCCTAGATCCTCTTAGTATGTTAGTTGAATTTGAAAAGAGAGAGACTAAGAGCAGGATTCCCAAAAGAGGCAGCCGGAGACAGAAGTCCTCCTACTTCTAACACCTTTATTCTTCCCACCTGTGATAATGGAGGCCTACTTGTGCCATTGGAATTCTAACCCTTAACTTGTATCATCACTTCTTCAGGGGTGAAATTATAAGAGAACTTTTGAAATTCTTTTTTTTTTTTTAAAGAGTTTATTTATTTGACAGAGCGAGACACAGTGAGACAGGGAACACAAGTAGGGGGAGTGGGAGAGGGAGAAGCAGGCTTCCTGCTGAGCAGGGAGCCTGATGTAGGGCTCGATCGCAGGACCCTGGGATCATGACACGAGCCGGAGGCAGGCGCTTAACGACTGAGCCACCCAGGCGCCCCAGAACTTTTGAAATTCTTGAGATCCGTTGGTTCTTAAGCTTTGAGAACTTGAGGAAAACTCTTAACTCTCCAGAAAGATATACTTGCACATTTCACACACTCACTGAAATCCATTGAGAGGCCTCAGGTTAAGAATCCTGATCTGGTTTGCAACGACATGGATGGAATTAGAGGGTATTATGCTAAGTGAAATAAGTCTACCGGAGAAAGACAATTATCATATGATCTCACTGATATGTGGAATTTGAGAAACAAAACAGATAATCATAGGGGAAGAAAGGAAAAAATAAAACAAGACGAAACCAGAGAGGGAGACAAACCATAAGATACTTTTAATCATAGGAAACAAACTAAAGGTTGCTGAAGGGGAGAGGGGTGGAGGAATGGGGTGACTAGGTGATGGACTTTAAGGCAGGCATGTGATGTAATGAGCACTGGGTATTAAATAAGAGTGATGAATCACAGACCTGTACCTCTGAAACCAGTAATACATTATATGTTAATTAATTGAATTTAAATTTTTTAAATGTTTAAAAATAATAAAATATCAAAAAAAAAAAAAAGAATCCTGATCTGGGGCTAAAGCAGTGCTTTTCAACTCTTTTTCATATCATGACATCCATAGAAATGATATTTGTATCATTTATCACTGGGATAAACTAAAAGGGATTTGGATAAACTAAAGGGGATTTGTAGGCAACTATATGGGTCTTGTTGAAAAAAACTTTTTATATAATATAATGGGGAAAAAATAAACATTAAGGATGATATTAGGGCGCCTGGGTGGCTCAGTCGTTAAGCGTCTGCCTTCGGCTCAGGTCATGATCCCAGGGTCCTGGGATCGAGTCCCACATCGGGCTCCCTGCTCGGCAGGAAGCCTGCTTCTCTCTCTCCCACTCCCCCTGCTTGTGTTCCTGCTCTCGCTGTGTCTCTCTCTGTCAAATAAATAAATAAAACCTTTAAAAAAAAAGAGGATGATTTTAAATATTGAATTTGTATGAGCTTCTGAATAGTCTTCTCAAAAATTAAATGAAAAACCTGAGATTGCTTCTATAAACATAATATTTTCAATGTAGGT